GCAGGTTCCTCGACGAGAGTTCCTTCGGCCTCGTTTGACGTTCTCCGTTGCTTTTTGTGCATCAAAATCAAGAATTGCTGCAAATTTCAAATTAGAATTTAAAGAAACAACTGAATGTGTTTCAACATTTCTTTTAGTGCTGCCACCATGTGCGACAGCTTTAGCCAACAATTTAAACCAACGTGCTCGGGCTCGTATGAGTAGTTTGAGAAACTTACGCTTGACTTGAGACAGTTGTCCAGACTCAGAGAACACTCTGCAACACCAAACAAAACAAAAAGGTTGAAGCCATCGTTGCCCAACTTTTGTTTCTCTTCCGTTGCACTTTTAACGACTTACCCAGATCCTTTTTGTGGAAAAACTTTTCCACCTGGTCTCCGACGGTCACGGAGGAAACCGGATCCATAAAGTAGTTGTATTTAGAGTCCCACTTATGGACTGGTTTGTCTCCGGCAGCGACAACTTTTTGTGCCGAAACATATAAAGAGAAGGAAACGCAGATGAGGGCAAGCCGTCCAGTTTTTAACTCCTGAAGAGTCGATAAAATAAATGAAAGAATCATTAAAGAAGGAAAAAAAAAAAGATTATGACGATAGTTTTTAGAGCCCTGTGGAAAAACAACCAGAGCAAGTTGTGCACCAGTGTCTCCCATCGCAGAGGGACTTGGTTAATGATTGTGGTTTTCGAGAGGCGTGTTTTTCAGGACTGGAACTGAACGGAGAATGTAATCAAACCTTAATGTTTTTAGTGCCAATCATTCAAGAGGGTATGAGGCTACTATGAGAAGAGACAGACTGTGCTTTTCTCAGGCACTGCAGAGTGACGGGTCTTGGCGACTGGAAGGAGCAACTTTATCCACCATCGGGTACATAGGTGGAGCCAAGGGGTGGCCAATGGAGGCAAGGCCACCATAGAATAATCTTCAGCCACTCCAAGGGCCACCTCAATCATTTGAGGAAACTATATTTTAAAGCAATATAAAGCCTAAAAGGCAGTTTTCTCAAATGAAGGTGGTCAGTTTACGTATTCGGTGGTGGCCATCTTGAATTGTGGCGTGGCAACCCAATGTTCACGTTTCTTACTCCTAGAAGCAGTTACACACCAAAATAAAAGTTGCTTATTTTTCAACTTACCCAGCTTGCTGGACGGACAGACGGACGGTCGTGTACGTACGTACGTACATACGTACGTACGTACATCCATCCATCCATCCATCCATCCAAGGAGCCATGTTAGATTTTGACGTGGCAACCCAGTTTTTCGTAAGGAACATTTTAATACCGAGATGCAGCCAGAAACGAAAATGGACGTTGGCCCGTTGCGTAGTTTTCCAGTTATCCAACTCGCAAGGTTTACTCATACATATATGGCGGCAGCCATCTTGGATTTGACCTGGCAGCCTAATTTTCAAAAGGAACGTTTCTTTTGCCAAGATACAGCCTCACACCAAAATGGAAATCGATACTTCACTTATTTTTCAACTCATCATACTAACAACATGTATAGACGGACGGACAGAGGGAGGGTACTTCCAGCTCGTCGTCTTCTCTCTGCGGCGGGGACAACAACCTAAACAGCCTTTACAAGGAGCTACATGTGAATGTGAGAGCATAACGCTGACATTTGATCGGATCATTTTCAAATATAAACAGGGCATTTTGAATTTTAAGAAGTTTACCCTCTGAAGAAGGTCCAGCTGAGGTTTTGGAAGTTCCCTTAGATTTGACGGAAGAAGTCTTTGCATCTGAAGAACTTCCAGTTTCCTTAGATCGTCTGTGAAGAAGAGAAGTTTGTGGGTTTAAAAAAAAATCGTCAAGACTTCTTATTTGAATTGTGTCAAACTTTAAATTTACGGCACAGAATCTGAGTTCAAATACGATGAACATACATGACATGGACAGTACACACCAGTACACCTGGTCAAAACTTAAACGATAAAGGCCGAGCGTTCCTTGAAGGAATGCATATCGCCCGCTGCCTTTAGTCCCAGAGTTTTAAACTGAGATCGTCTGATGATGAGAAAAGACGAAGCTGCAGCTGTTTCGGTTAACCCTCGAGGACGACGCTACGCACAGCAGGGCGAGATCTCACGTAGTGTGTTAGAGCTCAAAGCACGTGCTGTGGAGGACTCTCAGCTACTACCACAGCTCCGTATCTGTACATCTGTCTGAGTCGGAGCCACTTTTTGTGTTTGTTCAGGCGTGACGCCAACTTGAACTGGTTTGTCCCTGAACGGTGAAAGTTGTAGACGCACGTCCGGGGATGTCATTCTGAATTTCGCTGGAGTCTGATCATTGGTTCGTGAGATATTTTGCTAACGATACGCACGAGCTTGCACGCGGTTTGGTCTTGGGTGACAGTGAAAGATGTAAAGGGGTTTGTGAGAAGCACAACTTACTGCTGACGTTGTTCCTGAGCCTTTGCTTCGATGGAAGAAGCCAGCAAGTTGACTCTGTCCTGTAAACAAATTGTTTATAAATAGGTCGTACGCAACAAAACATAATGAGAGAACAGCATCCGGCACATTATACGCCCGTCCACAAACTATTGTACAATCCAGACAATCAAAGACCTTCAGGGACGTCAGACTCCGTGGTTGAAACTGAAAACAAGAGGCTTACTTTTCTACGTTGCAGGTTCCTCGACAAGAGTTTGATCAGCTTCATTTGACAATCTCTGTTGATCTTTCCACCATAAAATAAAAACAATTACTGAATTTTTCATTATTTCTGGGCATCAAAGTTGGTCAAGTGTGCTTGTTGTTAAGCAAAACGAGAGGAGATTTAAAAACCTTCCATTTTGTTGGATATAATCAGTGTTCCCCCAACCATGATACAAGCAGGGCGCTCCGCCCGGTCCACGGACCCAAGCACCCCGCCTTCTGAACTGCTCCCCCGCCGCCCTGTCAACAACCGCCTGTTCTGACGTAGCACTAAGCTTCAGTGTTGCTGTCAAGACCACCCAACCAGAGACCAAGTCAAGACCAAGACCTCAAGTCTCGGAGCTCAATCTTTTCACAGATGATCTGTCTTATACTATACTGTCACGACATGGTGACACTTTTAACAAATATGTAAAAAAACATGTAACTTCTATAAAAAATATATTTTCATACGTTATATACTGAAACTTTGAATGTATCAGCGTTAGTAAAAACTCAAAGCTATAAAGAAATCAGATACTCGGTGCATTTTGCACAATAATTTTCATGTCATGTGACTCTCCGACACAAAACTTAAGTTAAACTCTATTGGACCTGACAGACGAGGCACCTGCATTCAATTCTTATTTTAAATCATTTTCTAATTTTACATAATTCAATCGTTTTTGCTCAATAACTAATTAGAAAACGATTTAAAATGAGAAATCAATGACTCAGGTCTGTTAGAGTAGTTTATCATTAGTTTTTGTTTCCGAGGAGTTTGGTTCGGTAATTTCTTGACGGTCCCTAAACGAACCATCACGTCTCGGAGGAGGGGCAGACTGAGCTCAGCGGACCGACCCGCTTCTGATCCGACGAGAGGAACGCACCGCTGAGGTCACGGAGCTCGAATGTCCAACGTAAAACTAACTTCACCGCGGTAGAGAAACGAGTCTCCGAAACAGTTCGGAAACAATTTGAAATGAGGAAAAAAGTGATTTATTAACCGATTACGCTGCGTTTCAGACTGATTACTGCTAGAGAGTCTCTTCTGACCCAAAGTGCAGCCGTGACTGGTTCTGAATGAGGCAGACAGACGCTCCCCTCTCTTCCAGGTGCTGCGTACAGGCGCAGAATCTTTTAGGGGTACGCAGAACCGGAGCGGACCGGCTTACTTTCACCCCTGGTGTTGACGTCACGTTGTTCTCTGCATTGTTCCGTTGGTACAGAACCACGTGCACGTGAAAGGGGGTGGGCGTGACAGCAATAACAAAAGTTTGTATTTAGCAATGAGTCACATTATCGACTGGATTTGAGTCAGCACGTTTTGCATCCAATAAAAACAAAAGATGTGAAATAAACTGGACAATGTTCTGGCAATTTACAGATATTTCCACAGTTGTGGTCTTGACCGGTCTTGACTGGTCCAAGTCCTCGATGTCCGAGACCGAGACCATCAAAAAGTGGTCTTGAGACCGGTCTCGAGTACTACAACACTACTAAGCTAGCTGCTCACATTACAGATGTGCTAGCTAAAAAGCCACACAGGTTACGATCCCGTTCCCTCACACTGGGCCGTACAATAATTAAAACAGTTTTACAGTTTTAATTATTGAATATACAATTATATAATTTTAAATGTGCAATCGTTAAAACTGTCGGTACGACCAGTGTGCAACAGAGACGTGTCTCCATCGCCACACGCCACACACCCATGTCGACAAACGCCACAGAAGATACGAGCGCCCTGCCTATGGGAAACACTGGTCACTGTGACTTACTCAAGTTTAAAATTTTAAACAAATACCTTTTTTTTATTATGACGCAAAACACGTTAAAATATTTCCTAATACTTATTCTTGTCCTAAAAACATTTCAAATCATTTCTGGTGGATTAAATGAAGGAGCTAAATCTAATTAACGTGTTTCGCTCCCTGTATAATATTAAAAAATAACAATAAAAAAAGAAATGCTCAAGATTGACTTTTCTGTTAAAACAACTAAATTAAATGTCACGCGTTTCTGTCAAAACTTCAAAGAACCTCCGATCTACACACATTATTGTGTGTGTACATAATATTGAGTATATAATATTTTTCAGGTCTCTCTTGTAAATGAGTCCTCGAGGCTCAATGGGATTTACCTGTATAAATAAAGGTTGATGAATATATACACACACACATCTATCTATCTATCTATCTATCTATCTATCTATCTATCTATCTATCTATCTATCTATCTATCTATATATATATATATATATATATATATA